GACAAAACCCGACATTAAACTGATGCCTTGTTCTATTTATGACGTACTGACACAAAGTTAAAATGAATTGCAACGGTCGTTTTGCCGCGTCCAGTGTAGAGCTGTTGTGGTGCGACGCGACAACTGTAGCATCCGGTATAGACACGGTGAGTGAAGCCGAGAGCAAGATATGCCTCGTCATATTTTCTGCATTTAGCTTTTGAATGACCAGCACCTGCCTGGGTCTGTGCGACGTCATCTATGGCTTTTCTCTTCCCTTTCGCAAACCGATCCATCTCCCATTCTAAGTTACGTCCTTTGGTTTAGGGCTGGGCGATATAGCTAAAAAATGTATCAACGATATAATGTTTCATATCGCTCGGTATCGATAATTATTGACATTTTTTTATAACCTTTCTTAAAACAAAGAGCAACAGAAAAAAACTTTTAAATTTAACCACTGTATTTTTAAATTAACCCAATTTATTGAGACAAACAACAAATATTTTTGGTTTTAACAGTTAAACACACAATAAAAATCCAAAGAGCCGAATAGCCCATCACGCAGATTTCATTTAAAAACATAAGAGACGCAGTGAAAAGGAATAAACCTCCACAAATTCGTGACGTGTTTTCTAGAAGTTTAAACTGTTTTAACTTTGCATGGCTTTCTATACATCTCTTGTGTGAGACGTGAAACGAGCCGTTTTAGGTAGGTGTGGCTAACTCTTAACTTTTATAAAGAATATCTCTTTGGATTTGAGACTTTAGTCTTTGCAACTTTACAGATCTTCTTTATGCACCAACAGCTTGTAACACTCTAAAGAGAAAGGAAAAAATGAAATCGCATCATATGACCCCTTTAACCGGTGGGAAAATTTCCTCACCGACACAACCCTAGTGCTATATCGAACATTTTTTCTATCGTTATCGAAGAAGGTGTACCGCCGATAAATATCGATACCGTTTTATCGCCCAGGCCTATTATAACGTGTTGTTAGACCGATCAGTGTGTGTCATCAAAGTACTGCGAGAGCTATAAGAGAGCGGGGACGTCTCCTTATGCTTTCTCTCGCCGTACTTTGATGTCATACACCGATCGATCTTCAAGTCGAACACACCTCTTTACTCTCGCGTGTAATTGAAAAATCGCATTTTTTCATATCGCGATATTATCGCAAATGCAATTAATCATTTAGCCCTTGTCTGCATAGCCATCTGTGAGTGCTGGTCTACTTTTGTGAGATCATTCATTCAGATGTACCCACTCTGAAACATCCCATAAGGCAAACAACTGCGGTTGGCCATATCACATATCAGTCAGGCAGGCCCTTCCTGCATTAATGGGCAGCTCTTAGTCTATGCTGGAGAGTGTACCAGACTTTATGCAGATTTCAGCAGCCAAAGAGATCTCCATTATAACTTCCATCAGCACTGTGGTGTCAATCTACATATTTTTCATTACAATCACTTCATTCTCTTCCTCATTCACAAACTACAACAACTATGAGTCAAAAATCCCCATCTAAATAACCTACAGATAAAAAAGTACAACGTCACTCAGTGAACTTTGCACAGAAAGCACAGCGTAGTATGCGAAACTCAATGGCACGATGGAAACATCTAGGGGATTTTTGTGCCAATCAGCTGAGTCACAATCGAAAGAAATTCCTCTTTTACTTTCTCTCTTACCTCTTTCTCTGTATCCCTGGAGATACAGGCCCATTGGTTCTCCTTCACACTGTACGCCCAGAAATCAGCCAAGTCCTGCGTTCCATCCCAGCCCCCAAACAGATACACGGTTTCTGCCAAACAAAGAGGCGAATACAAAAAACAGAAAGAGAAAGCGATGGTGAGTGGGTGAGGCGTTTTACACCTTTATAAGAAATTCAATATGATATCGAAGGATAAAAACTATTATGGTATTTTAAAAGCTATTATAAATCATCATATTCTTGAAAGGCAGCTGTGTGCTGAGGTTGGAAGGCTGATGTCGCCATGGTGATAAGCAGAGACAGTTGTTTGAGCCATTGAGAGTCAGCTGAGCTGTACAGCGGGTTACTTGAGGTCAGTTTGAATGCACAGGGCCACATGAGGGCTGCGGGGATCGACTGTTCCTCTAACAAGCAGCTCACAGATTCACACGCACATTTAAAACAGCCCTTAACTCGCAACAGCGGGGCTAAATGCAGTCTTACCATGCATTGCACTACAAGCAAAACAGAACAAGCTAAATAGTGCCGCGATAACCGCCCAATCAGAAACTTTGCAAATCAGCCATCTGACGCAAAACGTACCTGTCTGAACATCAATGACCATCTGATGACCTCCTCTCATGCCCGGCCTGTTATCATCACCATCACCTAATCAGAAAAAAAGGAGAAGAACAGAAGTGAATTGAAAGTGGTGTGTGTCAGGAACAAGACACACTGAATAACAATACAGCCCTTAAGTCATTTAATACAAGGATTCCCTGGAGTCCAGCATTCAGATTCAGAGCAAGAGGCCGCCACTTGTGTGTTCTGTCGTACCTTTGTTACATTTGGGGATGATCTGACTCCAGCGTGGCTTATAATCCTGCTGGCTGATGTACTGATTAAACAAACCATCTGGAAGAGAACAGAAAGAATCAAGTGTGTACTTTAATTTGCTAATGCATGCTCCCAGAGCGGGAAACAATCCAAGTGTACATTAGGTTCTAATTACCGTAAATTTACACTGTGACCACAAAAGAGAACATGCAAGAACATGGAATACAACTGCGAAAGCCACGTAAAACACTTTCTCCTATCCCATTCAAACACGTAGAAGCTGATTCCTTCTAAAAATCTTTAAACGGTGTTAGTTCTTGACTAACCTGACAGTGGATCAACCAATGGCTCAAGCCTTAGTGTGGACTATTTGTTTTGTCCGAAGAAAAGCCAGTTAACAACAAGTCAGTTCACTCTATGGCCATATTCGCAATGCCTCAGTCTGAGCAGCTATTTCGGTCATACTACTTGAATTCGGTCATCTACTTGAATGGGGGAGGACTGATATCTCTAAAATCGCTCACCAAGTTCACAATAAAACAACGTATTTTATACCAATTAAACCTGACATCAGATGTTTCATAAAATTTCTTAAGTTAAAATTTCCGGATTGCTGTGCAAAGGATGGCAAAAGATGTTGAAACAGAAAAAACAACCTAAAAGGATTAACAATTGGCTCTTTTTACTGGAAGGCAGGACTTCCTTCACAAGAGAGACCTTACTGAGTGTTGCACTTCCTCCCATTCATTGTAATACCCATGGACAGTCTCTGTGCAATATCGTCTTTGCTTCAATGCTACATAAATGCTAAATAAAGTGACACGACAGTCATTTATTAAATTCAACAACAACGGCTCGTTCCATGTGTCATGCATCATTACGCCATTTCTAGGTCATTGAATATGAGCAAAACTTTCCAGTTTTCAATACGATCAAGTGTTTACATGTCATATCGAACGGATTAGAAAAGGTTTATCCCACCCCTCTCAACCCAATTGAAATTTTGAAGTTTGGGCATTTTTATTCCAATTGAGGTGTTTACATGGAGCATTTTCATTCAGATTGGACTTTTAAACAGACTGTAATGGGAATACAATGCTCCATGTAAACATACCTACTGAGTACCACACCATTTTCAAATCAATCTAAATATTCCAAGGTTTACTTTAAATTTAAACAACATTTATGCAAATGTCTTGCTAATAGCTTGCATGAAAAGTGTTTTGCGGACACACATTCTGCAGGTTGAATCGTAACCAGGTGAACTTTTAAGTTGCACATTACTGACATATGACCAACACCGTTTTGGAAACTATAGCTCTCAACTGTGAAACCACCCACATGTTTGTGTCAAAAAGCAGCATGTTGGTGTTTTTTTATATCATTATGACTCAATTGTTATTTAAAATGTATGGGAATTTTGAAATATATAAAATCCATAGTTCCTTATTTTTTTAACCTGCACCCTTCAGTCAGTACAACAGGCAAACATTAGTTCAGATGGGAGTATGCGAAAAACAAGTTTTTCAAAGCAGTAAATAATCACTATTCAAATAGTGAGAATATGAGAAACTAAATCTTTGAGTCTTTTTGAAGTACAATCTGCTGTATAATACTGCAATTGTGCCATAATGCTGCAAGTTCATCAAAATCTCTCTAAAGCCCGGCTCACACTGTGCGATTTTGACCACGATTTGGTCGTCTGAGACAAATTTTGAAAATCCTAAAAGATTCCTATAATCCTAGGCTAAAATCTGTAGTCTTTGAAATCTGTAGTTTGACATGTTCACCGACAGCCGATTAATGGTCGTTGCGATCAAATTTTACCTCTGACGAACTTCTGGCAGTGTCAGAAGATTTGGCGCACAGTCCCGCAGTGTGACATCTCCTACGACGAACGTCAAACTGTCTTCGTTTTTCAAGACAAGCCATGATCAGAATTAATGCTAGAGATTTCTTCTAACCGCATAAACTCCGGCGCTCCCGTCCTCCACTCACGGAATTCATATGATATGTTGCCTTTGCCAGGATAAACACTGGTTGCGCTGCTGTTTTCATGTGGATGTGTAGTGCTGCTTGCACTATTTTGCATAAATACGCCGGTATTGCCGCCATTCATATACTTTTAATGATAGCCAACATTACAGCTCCGCGTGCAATGCAGCTCACAGTCACTGAATGTGTATGGGTTGATAAGGTAAAACTCCGGACAAGTTTTCTTGCGCGCACCCGTTTTTAACGCGTCTTGACTGTCATACAGTCTGACATTAATGACAACTGAGATCCCACAGTGTGACATGATCATCATGTTCGTACAGTCTGACAAGTACAATCCTAAAGGACTTTTAAAAAAAATCGCACAGTGAGCCCGGCTTAACAGTGAGAGCAGTGTATTTTAAAAATATAACACTTCTAACACTAAAATCATGTCTAGTCTGCGTCAAGTGAAACAAACCGTTCGAGCAGAGATCATCTTTATTTGACATAAAATGTCAACAATAATGTACTGGCTTGCAACGTAACACGATTATAATCCAGAACCATTCTGTTGCCTACAGGGAACCAACATGCCCACATTCCCTACTTAAAGGGTCATGAAACCCCCCGTTTCAGCACTGGTTAGTTCTCACCAGTTTTAAAAAATGCTAAAAAAGTGGGCGTGGTGCGCAGCGCAGCGGAGCGGAGGAGGGGGAAGAGGGGAGACAGGCAACACACACAGCTTCGCGTTCAGACAGTTTCATTTCACTCCCATCGAGTTAAAAACGCAAATATTTGCACTCTGCATCGAAAACATATATATGAACGCGCTGTTGCACCTCTGAGAACTTTTAAGGCTTATCCTGTGGCGTTTATATAAGCCTTTTGACGGGTTGTGTCTCAGAGCTGTAAAAACGGTTATGCTCACCAAGTGAATGAATCGCGTTTGTGCCGAACTCTTATTACAAAGCAAAAACAAACACTCTTCTTCGATCCATGAACGTTTCTCTCAGTTAAGATTTTAAACCCAGAAGATGAAAACAGCGCAAAAAATATTAAAATGAACCAGTTTTCTCCAACAGTTAAAATTATCAGATGCTAACATTGTCTTCTATGATGTGCAACACAAACACCTCTGCTAAAATCTCAGAAAAAGTAGCCTGGGGTTTCATGACCCTTTAATGAATGTGGCACAGATCCATATGATGAGGTACCTCTCACGGCTTTGTCTATGAGCTCCTCGCAGGCGTCAAAGTCTCCTCTGAGGACCAGCCGCTCATGGAGGTGCGTGAGCATGGGATGCTCCAGAGCAATCCGTGTTTTCTTCTGCAGGGACTCGAAGGCTTCTGTGTAGTTGTGCTGCCGAAAGTGTTTCAGGCACAGGCGGATGGCCTCCTGTTCACGGTACTGTCGGGGAAAAAAAACAAAGCACTTTAGCTGTAACTTGCCATCAATCCAAGTTTAATATCGCGTGAAACTGCCTGTGCAAATGGAGTGCGAGTGTTATAAAATCAAGAATGTTTTTCTTACTGGAACAGCTTGGCAATTTAAAAACTGTTAATGGTTATGACGAACAAAGACAGTGACGCAGTTTACTGAAATAAAGATTACGAAAAAAAACCCAGGAAATATATATTACTTTAAATCACTTATGTGTGATTATCTTCAAGCAGTGGGTGGTTAATAATGGCATAATCTGAAATAAGCAATTTCTATTACGCAGCATGTTAACTTTTACATTCTTTTAAGATAGACGTGTGTGTGTGTGTGTATATTTGCCACCCATTTTTAGATCCAGAATTGCATTTCATTCTGTATCATTGCATAAAGACGGGATAATAAAAAAAAAAAAAGAACAATTTTAATGGTCTTAGAATGCTTCTTTTGATTTTGGGATGAATTATGAACTTAACATTTCTTTGTGGCATTCATCCTCAAAGATGGATGTGGATGTTCGGACACAACTCACCTTACTGTACCAGTTAAGGCAGGGCTGGACAACGTCTGGATCTTCTATGCCGTGTAACTCAATATACCAGATGCTGAAGTTAAAGCTGGGCCCCCATGACATCAGAGGCACTGTACATAACCAAACACACACAGACAGCATCAAGAGAGGACATTCACACTTTGCTTTAAAAAAAAAAAAAAAAAAACTGTCGTCAAATTTTCCATTCTCAAAAGAATCGCAGAGATTTCAATGTCTGAAACACACAGCTTGCAATATTACAAGAGAAAACGCTCTCACAAGCACTTGTTTGTTCCATCAAAGACTTGCAGAGTCATTCAATCACTCACTCAACTCATTGTCTTCCTCTGAAATCATGTGATGACTGATCTTTCCCCTAAATGTGTCACCACATGAGTTCACCGGGTCTTTAGTTCGCTCTTTCTGTAAACACTCACCTATTTTAATGAACCTGCAGGGAAACATCTGCTCATCGATCTTGTGCTTTAGCGTGAATGTCTCCTTGTTGAAGTCATTCTTAAGGCCACTAGGATTAGATGAGAAAGACAGTCAATGACCTCCCCACATCACAAGAAGCCATTTCCCCAAACATTACTCACAACGCAAGAAACACAATAAGCCATTTTATAAAATGTTTGTATTCTGGTGCTCTATTAGCAAGTTAATTAAATCTGGTCACCTGCTCTCGAGATGCTCTAAAATCTGAGTCCGTAAAGTTTATCTGACATAAAGATTAGCCTGTAAATAGACTGTAATCACAAACTAACATTCTCCCACCAGTCTCACCTAGACAAGAGTTCCGTCATGTTTTCTTCGCTCATGCCTCCAAACACTTTGAACTTCTTCAGGTTGCACACGTGGGTTTTCTCATATTTGCCATAGGTGATGCTCAGAACGATAGCTGGTCTCTCCAGTTTTAAGATCAAGTACTGAGTAGCAGAAAATAAATAAAAACTGTTACACCAAAGCAATTCTGCAATGTTCTAGCCACAACGATCAATTTTATCAAAAACTATTAAGATCAAAAACAGTCATCCGTAACATATTAATAACTTTACAATTCGTTTAAAAACTTTACCTTTACCACATCAGTAAATCTAGACCAATTTCTAATATCATTCATCATTGTGCAGGTTTAAAGTCACATATCAAGTATGTTTTGTAATAAAAGCACGAATATGATTTGAAAGCCATAACAGGGTGCAGATTTTCAGTGAATAATACATTTTATTTTGGTCAGTTCCCTCTCAAAACTAGCATACATTACAGTTCAAAAGTATGGGGTCTGTAAAATCTAAAATAATAATAAAATAAATAAGTACTGAAAAGGATGCATTAAATTCATCAAAAATGACAGTATAGACATTTATAATGTCTATAATATTTTTTTTTCAGATAAACATTTTAACTTTCTATTCTACTTACTGTTTCCACAAAAATTAAGCAGCACAACCGTTTTCAACACTAATAACAAAAAATCTCTCTGACTGACCCAACAAGCATATTAGAATGATTTCTGAAGGATCACGTGACTAACGAGTGCTGAAAATTCAGCTTTGCATCACAGGAATAAATGACATTAAAATATATTAAACAATAAAACAGTTATTTTAAATTGTAATAATTTCAAAACATTACTTTTACTGTACTTTTGATCAAATAAATGTAGCCTTGATGAGCCAAAGAGACTTCTTTCAAAAAATCTTGCCAACCCCAAACATTTGAACAGTAGTGCATGTCTTCACAAAACTCGGAAAACAGGACAAGTTGTATGGGCCACTTTTCTGGTATTTTTTCCTCCCTGACAAGAGGTGACAGTATCTATCACTATCCATTTTGTATGTAAAATTCCTCATTTACTTATTAGTGCATCTTACATTCCTCTGTGAACATTACAAAACACAAGGAAGATATGTTCTTGTGTTTCTGGTGCATATAAAAACACACTAGATCAAAAAGGCCAGAGACTGCGAGTGACAACAGCCTCTTCAGGTGCAGGTGGACAGGAGGGGTTTATATTACTCATGCTGCCCTCATGAAAACAATTCAATCAACTGTAGACATCTATGACAGAACAGCCCGTAATCACAGCATGTAAATTATTGCTCGGAACAAACGCAGCTTGCGTAGAGACCCTAAAAATGAATGGGCTATTGTCATTGAAGACGGGAAGGGTGAGGAAAATATTTCACACAGACTGACTGCGATATTCCATCCACCAGCACTGATGGCCGCCTGCACTAAGAGCTTGGTAAAAAAAAAAAAGGTTTTCCAACATCCAGCATTTAACCCACAGATGAAATATTGATTGAACTTCCTATAATGATTTACAACATGTTGAGAGGTCATTTCTGGGAAAAAACTGGATAATGACAGGAACTATGATTTCGTAAAACTCTGATCTCTGCAGAGGGTAACTGTACTTTTTTAAGTGAAAGGATGAGAGTGGAAGGACATGAGTGAGAAAACACAAGGCTTTGAGTTCGGGTTGGAGGTTAAAAGTTGAGGGCGAGTGTTACTGTACCGCCAACACGCACTTTCGATTTCCTTATTGCCTAACCACAAGTCTGTCTGCGCTGCAATGGTCTGTGCAACAAGGCCGGCAAAAAAGAGGCTTCCTCATTCCAAAAGAAGATGAAAGCAAGGCACAGTGTCAATGAATGAAACTTTCAACATAACCAGGCATGTTAATATCAAAAACTGTCAACATTGAAACACACGTATCTGCAGCCAAACACCAATACTAAAGGCACAGAGACCTTTTGATACTTTTCCCCCATTTTTTGAATGGGGTAAGTAAGAATTTTATTTTATTTTTTTAGTTTTTTGTTAACAATAATAACCGTGATACAGGAACTATTATCCAGCTCAGCTTAACACTGAAAGGTGTAAGCAGAATTTACCTGTGGAGGGTAGTTGCTCTCAGATGACCACCTGGAAGACTGATCGTTTGGTTTGTCCACTAAAATATTCCTGCAAACAAACAAAATAAGAAAGAGTTAAAGAAAAGCGTAAGGCTCCACAAACATTCTTTAAAACTTTTTTTCACACTTTTTCTTGCATGCATAATGGAAAAGTTGTGCAGATTTTCCATAGCATTATGCTGTCACCATGAATGCACAAGCATCCAGTGCGCTGACAACTTTCTAATTGTGATGCATGCTTACAGATGAATACATGCACAAATGTGCTTTTTTATACAAGTATGCTTGCAATTGGATTATGCTTGTTATGCCAAGTCCAACACAGTTCTGCTTGCTACATAAAGTTCATAAAGCATGTAAGCTTGGGGTGAAAAGCAAAAACAAAACTGGCAAGAGTACACGGGTGTCACAACAATATATGCTTCACCACTGACTAATGCATGAACGTGTACTGTTTATGTCAGTCTACTACAGCACATTTTCCTCTAGCCATCATATCTAACACAAGGATTACAAAGAAGGTATGTAAATTAGTAATACATGATCCATTTTACATGACACAAATTGCATGGATATTATGGGTTAGACCGCAATAACCAACCAGCTCACTGGCTGTGTTTCAAAACTAAGTGAGAGACCACGTTTCATAGGCTGTCTAGATAGGCAGCTCACTTGTTTCGAAACTCTGCTACTTCATGCCTTGCTAGACAGCTAGAAATAACAGCATATTTCGTACAAAAGCCCTGTTTAATACATTTTGCCATGGAAGTATTGTTATATAATATTGTAGATTAACAGAAACAGACGAAGATTAAAACGGGGGATAAAAATAGTCTGCGACTCTCACAGTGTCATATTCCAACAGTTTAGCATTAGTAAGTTAGTCACCATAGCATCTTTATACATTGATGTATTTTAAAGCAGTACTGGTAACAGTTAGTCTAATTAAGCTGTATTTCGACCAGATATTTTAAATATAGACGAAAACACCGATTTAAATGGCATTCAGCGATTTGCGGTTTGTTTACTTCTACAGTTCAATATAGTAAACTAACGTTAGCCATTTAGCTAACCCGCTACATAATGCAGTTCTGATTTGTATTTTAAGTATAAATAAACAGTGCAGTGAGACACCTGTCAGGTTCTTAAAAGAGCATCATGATCTGTATAATGATAGGAAAAATAAAAAACATTAGGTGTGCTTCAGGCGTGTTATTTGTATAAACTCACATAGGCTGCTTCACACTAGCCTAACCTAGCATGCTAACATGACTGTCACATCTGCACATTTCCATACATGTATAGCCATTTCCCGACTTTTGCACATCTAAATGCACATTAATATGTAAAATTAGATATTCGTTTGCTTTGTTGCTTGCCGTTATACATTTGCGGCTGCTTTTTATGTACCCGTCTGCTGTAGCCCGGCCCGTTGATGAGATAAAGCCATGGATTTGTTTAATATTACAGAGTTATAAACTGTGTATGTATATTTAAGAGCATATATAGAGTCTCAACGTGAGTGTTTAATGTGCGTTACTCACTCGGGTAAATATGTAGAGGAGTACGAGCTCCATTTATAAACACTGTAGGAGAGCACTCTGCTGTCAGGAGCCACCGCCATCTTGATGCACGAACGAAACACACGCACATATGCATACATACATATTCACACTCACTCACACACACACACACAGAGAGACACACACACAGAGAGAGAGCAGGCACGCAATCTTAAAGTGGAACAGGACTACAACATTATGTGGCCCTTGGGAAAAATAATAAATAAATAAATGCTCATAGAACACATAATAAAGGAATTTATTCATTCTGATAACATAGTGTCTTTAGAATACTTTGAATCAATCTTAAAGGGCATAAAAACATTACACTCATTATGTAGGCTGTTGTAAACTAGGAAAACTTTTCCCTCTTCTTCATCACCTAAATATTTACATAGGACCTAAATTACACTTATACTTTAAATGAATCATCCAGCAATGGCTGAACTATTATTAATCATTATAATGAGGCTAAGAGCAAATTTACTGCAGCTAAGCCTGAAAGTAGGCCATTCTTGACACAAGCAAATGAACCAGTGGCTATACTCCAAGAGGCTACCAGCCCAAGGGGCGATCCCATCCTTGTAGCCAAGGAGCCAAGCAAGGGATGAGGGAGCGGATGTGCTGTATTGTTTGAGTGAACTGTAGGCTAATCCTCTCTAATTCCATGCAACCGAGGGTCTTTTATCGGCCAATTAGCAGTGGGCTTCAGTTTTCACATGATCTCACGGGCTCTTTGATATGATATGACAAGAACATACAATGGTAGAGAAGTCATCTTTGAAGAAGTTGGAAAGTTTAGACAGACATGGATGGATGGATGGATGGATGGATGGATGGATAGACCCAAAAATGAAAATTTGCTGAAATTTTACTAATCCTTAGGAAATCCAGATGTGAAAGGGTCCCATCAGAATGAGTTAGGGTTAGCAATATTCTGAATAGACTCATATCATATGGACTTATATTTTAGCCAGAAACAGTGGTTTGAAGTAACAAACGTCTTAAAGATGCATTTGTTTATTACAAATGCAGCTTTTCACTTCTCAATACTTTAATTGATGGACTGGAGTTGTGTGGACTATTTGTGGATTACTGTGATGTTTTATCAACTGTTTGGACTCTCATTCTGATGGCACCCATTCACTGCAGAGGATCCACTGGTGAGTACCATTACAAATAATGTAATGGTAAATTTTTCCAAATCTGTTTCAGTGAAGAAACAAATTTATTTACATCTTGGATGACCTGAGGGTGAGTACATATTCATCAAATATTCATTTTTGGTTGAACTATTTCTTTAAAAGGTAACAAATATGATTATATTGTATCACTGTGGACGTGCCTGTCAAAATGCCTTATCAGTGAGGCTAATTATTTGAGACTGCTGAAGAACACAATGACCTTCTAGATAAATGCATTTCGCTTTTAGTTGATCATAGCACGCTGATGCGGTCTTATACCGGAAACAAGCTGATGTAAGGAATGAGAGATAATGTCATTTCAGCTAAGTGCATGGCCAGACCTTGGCAAGAGCCCTTTTAATTTATCGTAAATGGATGGGGACTATTTGTGTGTCACAATTTTTTAAACCTGTGTGTAAATGTGAAAAAAAAGTTATTGCCACTCTTAGAAAAATGGTACCTTTAGAGGTCTAAAAAACTTTGTACATTATGTACCTTTTAAAGGTGCATATACCTTAGAGAAGTAATATGTCATCTTAATGTACAACTATGTTAGAAAAAATAGCAAAAATTGTACCTTTAGTGGTCTAAAAAACTTTGTACATTATGTACCTTTTAAAGGTGCATATACCTTAGAGAAGTAATATGTCAACTTAAATGTACAAACTTTTTAGGGGTAAATACAAAGTTGTCCCCAGTGGCAAGCTGTTGCATCCCTACCATTTTTACAGTCATGAAGGTGTGGAATATAGCCTAACTTAAAGCAGCACCATTCAGTCCTTCAGTCTACAAAGAGAACAATTTTAGCTTTTCATATTAATATTTCTTCTAATTTCTGTCATAGGACAACAAACCTCTACACCTTGAGTAAAATCATTACAGAGTAAAATAATAATGAAAAAGACCATGAAATTAAACCTTAATCATAAAATAACTTGTGGATGACTCAGGCACAGAAATACATGATCAATTATTTAATGTATTTTATTCCAAACATGCAAAATATATATTTTATAAAGATAGATTTATTTTATGATATTTAAATAAAATATTGTCGGGAATAAAATATATAGGATTCTTGATTTGATTATATTTATAAATAATAAAGAATAGATTAAAAGTAGAATTTTCGAAACATTTTTGATATGCTGTTAAATAAACTATTTGATACATGTTTTAAATACTTTATAGGGTTTATTGCTGCTACTTTATAGCATAGTGCACGTTTAAACTAACAGTTTGGCCCAAACAAACTGAGTCTAAAGAGTGTCCCATTCGGGACGGGTTGCGATTGCGAATGAGATCCAGCAGCAGTTCGGTAGGAGGTCCCTTTAAGTTTCCATTGAGGGAGGCCTCACTATGTCACATGATGGACATGATATAATGAAACAGCGAACAGAAAATCTAAGCGTGTGTGTCCATGACTACAAAATAAGACTGTAGAGCAACGCAGTCGGCCGTACACGCCCCATTTTCAGAGTTGGAGCTACTGGAGCTGCAGTGTTCCCAACATCACCCAGTGATGATTTCGTAGTGCGGACCGGACTGCACCTGCTACCACGCATAATACGCACTTCACAGAAACGCAAGAGGACGCATGAAGTTATCTGAGGCTCCTTCATATGATGAATGACACAGTTAACGCAAACTCCTCGCGCGCATGTGAGAACTGAGAAATGTGCGGATTGTTATGAGCAACAAAGTAAGTGTGTACAATGATGCCTTAGGTTATTGGAAATGTATGTGCATGTTTGGGGGTGGGAAGAACGGGTCTCTTGTTGCCAAGAGATATTTGGATGATGTGCCACATGCAGTGTTCTTTCACTCCACGAACCCTTGCCAACGTCCGCATTCCGGGCTCTGTTGCGCAGATTAAAATCCAAAATTGAGGGTGAACGTTAATTTTTAGCCCTGCGTTTAATGCTGCGTGTGGATGATGTCTTATTTAAAACCTCTAAACTGAGCACTTCTGTTAAAGAACATCACGCCCCCTGTAAGTGCGCAGTTGCCGAAGGATGTCACAGCAACCGAGTATAGGCTAACCTATGTCTGCGTACATACAACCGACCTCAGCCTTTAATATTGACAATCAACTGAATATATTGATGTTTAAAGCGTGCAGAAACGAGAGAGGGATCACTTGAGATCTAAAGCAGGAAAGCCTCGCGCACTTTTAGAAGTTGCGCTGTTATTTCAGTACCATCGTCATCATCATTAGGCTACACAAGATAAAGCGGAACAGGCGCCTCGGCGATATGAACTTCGCCGCAGAAATGAAGAGCCCGGATCGATGCCTTTCATAAACAGGTAAGACTGTTGAGATTTTTAATTCACTTTAATATGTTTACGTATATGTTCTATAAGCCTACAGGAATTTACCGTTAATATTTTAACATGGATTTGCCGCGTCATTGTATGTAAAGGAATAAAAAGTCATGCATTTGTGTTGTACTTAGCGCATATAGCGTTTAAATGTGTGTTAAATTAGTTTAGTGTGTGTTTAAATAACTATACGTGTTAGAATCTATTTCAGAGCGTTCCGTGAGTGCGCAAGTCCTGAACCAAAGGGCTTATTTTCCAGATACGTAGAGCGATTTCCGAGCATGACACTGGAATACACTCTTGGGTATAAACAGGCGACAGCTGTGTGGATCCATATTTTAAAGAATTAGAATTAGACTCCTGTCCGTTGGGGGGTGTTAAGCTATTTTTTCCGCAATAACGTGCGACGCCACTACCTTGTTGTCGTAGAGGAACGAAAAACAACCCGAGCACCTGACAACAACCTAAGCGTGCGCGCTGCCAAGACGATAACACGCGCAATATGTAGGTTGAGCCTGTGGCATTTAGACGGACAGATAAGCGCCGCAAACCGGAGGCAGCAGACAGAAATATGGTTTTGATTTATTGTTAGTGACGTAAACAGGTTGTCATAAAGTAGGTCGCTAAGCAACCACGCAGGTAAAGGGCGTATTTAAGAGGATTGACGTTGACATTGAACGTTCCGCCAATGATGATCAGTCAACTTCTAACTCAGAAAGTGGTAATGTAGGCTACTGTAAATAATAGGCCACTTTTAAAATATTTTGGAGCATGCCTGAATTATGTAAGTCTTATCACTTTAGTAACTTTGGAGATTAAGGTAGGGATGGCTAGATTTTATAAAGCCACCAATCAGGACACATGTTGATACATCTCATGTGATTTTAGGTTAAGGCTAGTGTGTGTGTGTGTGTGAACCAAAGAGGTTCATATAATAACTTGAGAGAGGTATCCATTAGCATTCTTGTTCATCTCAGTGGCACTTGCACTGCTGACGCAGTATGCAATTTGAAATCTGCCATCTTTGTTTATGGATAGTCATTCTGCTGCCAGGTTGTTTTGAGTCAATCATCTGAGCTGTAAATGCCATGTGACTAATGACTCTGGAGAAATATGATGTCATAACAAAGCTGGGGAAAAAAGGATAAATTTATATTTTAAAGGGGTCATATGATGCTGCTAAAAAGAACATTATTTTGTGTATTTGGTGTAATGAAATGTGTTTATGCGGTTTAAGGTTAAAAAAACACATTATTTTCCACATACTGTACATTATTTTTTCTCCTCTATGCCCCGCCTTTCTGAAACGCGTCGATTTTTACAAAACTAATCGGTCTGAAAAGCGAGGTGTGCTCTGATTAACCAACTATCCAGTGCGTTGTGATTGGCCGAAAAGCTCAAGCGTGTGACGGAAATGTTACACCCCTTACCATACTGTGATGCCGTCTCCCGGAGCAACGAGACAAAAACATTAAAACCCATTATAAACGAGGCATTTGTTGCATCCAGTGGGGACATAATTA